TGAGAAGGGATTAATTTTACAATGATGTGTTTTTTTTTTGTGTCTGGTACCACTTTTTCTCAGCTCTCACCGAACCGATTTCTTTCAATGATACGTCAAAAGATCACAAATCGTATCTAGTCGAAGACATTACCCATAAAAATTGAAAAAAAATCCCTCGTTCCCCGTAAATGGGGGAAACCAATAAAATTACAAATTTAAAAAACGCTAATTTTCGAAATTTTTTTAAATTTTCTTATAGATGCATGATGTCTTTACCTATCATTTGGTATAATTTTTTTATAAATCTGACTTTTTACCTGCCCACAGGGTGGGATTTAAAATGACAACATTTTACAAAAAAATAATTTTTTCAACTTAACTTTTGAAAGTGTTCCGGAAAGTCTGACACTTTTATATATATCTTAAATTAAAGCTAATGTAATGTACTTTATTATGGAAAAAAAAAATTTCGGACTTTATTTTGTCTTCAGGGTGAAAACAGATATCAAAGTTAATAAAAAAAACCCAACCCAGCACAGGGGGGTCGCGGCACAGTGGTGACGTGGCATATTTGGATCAAGTATAATGATATCTGACAGTGATTAAAATCACTATCAAAAATAAACGCTTCGATGCAAATCTTTAGATAGTGTTTAATTTTAAAATAATTGGTGTTTTATTCCAAAAGCTACTTGATCTGCTGGTTCCTTATTAATATCTCGATTAAGATAAAATATGTCGAATGAAAAAGGGTTTATTAAAAAATATTATTTCTCATAAAAAAATTGTGTGTATCCATAAACTTTTCAATAAGTTATAGCATTATAAAGTTAAATATAATATAAATAATAAAATCGAGAATTTTCACACGAAAATAGCATTCGGTAGCCATTTTCGCCGTGAAGACAAGTCCAGAGGTCAATTTTTTTTTTTTCAAATTAAAGTATATTACATTAGCTTTAATTTAAGATATATATAAAAGTGTTAGACCTTCCGGAACATTTTCAAAAGTTAAGTTGAAAAAGTTAATTTTTTGTGAAAAAGTTGTCATTTTAAATCCCCCCCTGTGGGCAAAAAAAAGGTCAAATTTACAAAAAAAATATACCAAATGATAGGTAAAGAAATCAAGCATCTATTAAAAAAAATGATATTGATTTGGTCATTTTTATAAAAGTTAAAGCAGTTTTAAGTAAAAATTTTTTTGAAAATTTGTAATTTTTTTGGAGGTTTCCCCCATTTACGGGGAACGAGGGAAATTTTTTCAATTTTGAAGGGTAAAGTCTTCGACTAGATACGATTTGTGATCTTTTGACGTATCGTTGAAAGAAATCCGTTCGGTGAGAGCTGAGAAAAAGTGGTAACAGACACAAAAAAAAAAAAAAACACATCATAGTAAAACCAATACCTTCTCAGCTTCGCATCGAAGCTAAAATACAATTTTTGTAAAAAAATTCTTTTTTATATTTTTAACTTTATAATGCTATAACTTTTTGAAAGATGTATGGATCAATATAATTATTTTTTTTATAAATGCATGATGTCTTTACCTATCATTTGGTATATTTTTTTTTTATATCTGACCATTTACCTGCCTACAGGAAGGGATTTAAAATTACAACTTTTTCACAATAAATTTACTTTTTTAACATAAATTTTGAAAGTGTTTCGGAAAGTCTGACACTTTTATATATATCTTAAATTAAAGCTAATGTAATGCACTTTATTATGGAAAAAAAAAATTTCGGACTTTATTTTGTCTTCAGGGTGAAATTGGCTATCGAATGCTATTTTTGAATGAAAATTCTCGATTTTATTTTTTTATTTTTAACTTTATAATGTTGTAACTTATTGAAAAGTGTATGGATCAACATAATTTTTTTATGAGAAATAATATTTTTTAATAATCCCTTTTTTATTCGACATACTTTATCTGAATCAGGATATTAATAACGAACTAGCAGATCATGTTGCTTTTGGAATAATCCACCAATTTTTTAAAATTAAGCAAAATTAATCTAAAGATTTGCATCGAAGCGTTTTTTTGTTATAGTGATTTTAATCACTGTCAGATATCATAATACTTGATCCAACTATGTCACGTCACCACTATGCCGCGACCCCCCTGTGATGGGTTTGGTTTTTTAATAATTTGAAATATACTATTAATTATTTTTTCATGTCAATTACAAATGCTTATTCAAATGTTAATTATTTTCATGGAAAAGAAAACGCGTACTGTTATCAGTAAATAATGTAATAAGTGTTTACTTCTGTACTTTATATAATATGGACTGACATTTGATACCATAGGAAAATTGTAAAAAAAATCAAAATTTAACAAACTTCAAAATGCTGTATGAACATAACTACTGAATTAAAATAAGAGTATTTGGTATCAACATTTTTCTTTAAAACTTATCTATAAAATAGCTATCTTAAAATCTTAAAAAAATTTTAATAATAAAATTAATTTTTAAAATATTTTTTGTAATTGCGATAATTAACATAAAACATATTTTAAATATAGTTCTATATTAAAAAAAAAAAAGTATAAAATGTTATGTAGATCATAAGTTATATGAGTTGTCAGTTAGATCCGTTCCACTCTATATATATTTATAATATATAAATATATAAAGGGAAATTGTCCGATTTAAAAAAAAAGTATATCGTATGAAAGATGTATATAAATACTACTTTTCATGAATAAATTGTATTGATCCTTACATTTTTCAAAATGTTTTAGCATAATATAGTTAAAAATGTAAAATATGAAATTGAGAATTTTTACACAAAAATAGCATTTGTTAGCAGTAATATTCACAGTAAAGACAAAATAAAGTCCAAAAATTTTTTTTTCCATAATAATGTACATTACATTAGCTTTAATTTAAGATATATATAAAAGTGTCAGACTTTCCGGAACACTTTCAAAATTTAAGTTAAAAAAGTAAATTTTTTGTGAAAAAGTTGTCATTTTAAATCCCCCCTGTGGACAAGTAAAAGGTTTATAAAAAACAGTTGAAATATTTAAAAAAAAAATATACCAAATTATAAGTAAAGACATCATGCATCTATAAAAAAAAATGATATTGATTTGGTCATTTTTAAAAAAGTTAAAGCAGTTTTAAGTAAAAATTTTTTTGAAAATTTGTAATTTTTTTGGAGATTTCCCCCATTTAGGGGGAATGACGAAAATTTTTTTCAATTTTTGAAGGTAATGTCTTTGACTATATACAATTTGTGATCTTTATACGTACTGTTGAAAAAAAGTGGTAACAGGCACAAAAAAAATAAAAAATAAAAAAAACACATCATAGTAAAACTAATACCTTTCTCAGCTTTCCATCGAAACTAAAAATATATCAATATAACTAAATTATTTGTTATAATTATGAGTCTGTCCTTAGATTTTTCTAGCTTATTTAGTTTTTAAAATTCTATGTAAGAAACCAAGAAAACTACCAAGGAAACAATATTTTGAACATATCCTGGAACTCAGGATATGAGAATAACTCGACATTTTATTAAAACAACATTTGTTTTGTATTTTGGCCAACCCCAAGTAGTTAGGATTAAGACGAGGAAAAAGAAAACAATTATTCTGCATTTAATTTGTAATAAATCATCTCAATAGAAATTATAATAATCATTTCTATGTAACTCTAGGTACTTAAAAAGATGCTATAATTAAAATATTCCGATATTAGTTTTTTAATTATTCAAAAATAACTGAAAAAAACCCAGCACAGGGGGGTCGCGGTACAGTTGTGACGTGGTATAGTTGGATCAAGTATAATGATATCTGACAGTGATTAAAATCACTATAAAAAATAAACGCTTCGATGCAAATCTTTAGATAGTGTTTAATTTTAAAATAATTGGTGTTTTATTCCAAAAGCTACTTGATCTGCTGGTTCCTTATTAATATCTCGATTAAGATAAAGTATGTCGAATGAAAAAGGGTTTATTAAAAAATATTATTTCTCATAAAAAAATTGTGTAGATCCATAAACTTTTCAATAAGTTATAGCATTATAAAGTTAAATATAATATAAATAATAAAATCGAGAATTTTCACACGAAAATAGCATTCGGTAGCCATTTTCGCCGTGAAGACAAGTCCAGAGGTCAAATTTTTTTTTTTCAAATTAAAGTATATTACATTAGCTTTAATTTAAGATATATATAAAAGTGTCAGACCTTCCGGAACATTTTCAAAAGTTAAGTTGAAAAAGTTAATTTTTTGTGAAAAAGTTGTCATTTTAAATCCCCCCCTGTGGGCAAAAAAAAGGTCAAATTTACAAAAAAAATATACCAAATGATAGGTAAAGAAATCAAGCATCTATAAAAAAAAATGATATTGATTTGGTCATTTTTAAAAAAGTTACGGCACATTTTAGTAAAAAAAATTGAAAAAATTTCGAAAATTAGCGATTTTTAAATATGTAATTTTTTTGGAGGTTTCCCCCATTTACGGGGAACGAGGGAAATTTTTTCAATTTTGAAGGGTAATGTCTTCGACTAGCTACAATTTGTGATTTTTTGACGTATCGTTGAAAGAAATCCGTTCGGTGAGAGCTGAGAAAAAGTGGTAACAGACACAAAAAAAAAAA